AGAGTCTGACATGGGCTTTTTGAAACCCCAAAGGCCACACTCAGTGACACACTGCCTCAAACAAGGCCACGACTAATCCTAATGCTTTCAAATAGTGGTGGCAATCCCTGGTGACCAAGCATTCAAATCTAGGAGTCTATAGGGACCATTCTTATTAAGATCACCATTGTGGCCAAGGGAGTGTGTGTGCGCGCGCGCGCGCGCGTGTGTGTGTGTGTGTGTGTGTGAATACATGCATACACTAACACCCCCACACACCCCCACATCCCCTCCACACATACACTGGGTGAGTGGAGGTCAGAGAACAATTCCCAGAGAGTTAGTTCACTCCTTCTACTGTGTGGGTCCTAGGGATGGAGCTGAGGTGGCCAGGCTTGCCAACAAGTACCTCCTTCACTCGCCTCGGGCTTCATGGCTGCCTGGTTCCAGCGTCAGCTCCGGAAGTCAGCGTGATCTTGGACAAGTTACTCTATCGTCTGTGCTTAACTCGATTCTAGAATACAGAGATGGTGACCCTTGCCCCATAAAGTTATCACAAGCAGCAAGCAGCTTAGTGCGGGAAGAGTTTGTACAGCGCTGGCCCGCAGCAGCCACCGGGAAAGTGACAGTAACCAAGTAGGGGTTGTCAGTGCAGAGGGCTGCGATCATGTCAAACGGAGTCAGTGCGGAGATAATTCCTTACTCCATTTCCCCAGCTTCCTGGCCGTGTCCAGAGCCAGCAGTGTGGATTCTCTGCCCAGTACCCCAGCTTCTGTAGTATCCCCCAGCCCCAGCAAATATGTCTGCCCCTTCTCCCTTCCGGCTCTCAGACTGTTTAGGCTGTTTCAATCTTGCCCTCCTCCCCATTTTGCTAGGACTTCATAAAATACCTTTTCCTGGTGGCACCAGGCCATGCCACCCTGTGCAGTCCTCTTCTGGGGACAGAACTTGGTAAAGTGATGGTAGTGCGTGCCAGTGGCTGCCAGGGGCTTTCCAAGGGTTGTCTAGCAAGCCTGGCTGAGGGCCGCAAAAGGGAGCCTGCACGTGCTTCATGGACAGGGACGGATGGCCAGCAAGAGCCAGGACTTCTGTGGCAGGCTGGCTGGAGGAACCCATCATCCCTCACTCCATTCTTTGCACCCCTCCCTACAACTCCGCTGTTACTTCCTGTTTTCTCTCCTGGTCCTGCTCAGGAAATGCTGGCATTTTTGGACTAGTCTCCAGGCTCCGTTCTTCCTGTCTTAGTTGTCCCCTGTCATCAACTTCAGCTGCTTGTTGGGCAGCTACAGGAAGAGCTCTGTCACCCTCACCAAATGCCTTGTCTGGCTTTTCAGCCCCAGCTCTGCAGCCCAGCAGCCCAGACTTCTTTGACACAGGCAGGAGAATCCACTGAGGTGGAGCCTCAGGAAGATACAATGGGAAAGCCTGTAGCATCCGGGCTCTGTGAGGAAGGCTGTGGCTACGGAGGCTAAGCAACTGGGTCTCCACTCTGCGAGGCTGAAGAGAGGGATGTGTAGGGAAGGGTTTTATACTATTTATAAAATTATAAATGTAGGGCCTGGAGAGATGTCTCAGTGGTTAAGAGCCCTGGCTGCTCTTACAAAGGATCTGGGCTCAATTCCCAGCATCCACATGGCAACTTAGAACCATCTGTAACTCCAGTTCCAAGGGGTCTGATGCCCTCTTCCGGCCTCCTCAGCCACTGTATGTATACATATGCAAACATACATGTGGACAAAATACACATACACATAAAAAAATAAAAAAATCTTTAAAAATCATAATTTAGAAGTTTGAAAGAAAAGATTTTATAAACTTTTACCAGCCTCTACAGTCTCTATCCATGGGTATTTTCCAAATGAGAATTTTGAAAGCAGTATAGGATACATCGAAAAACAATGTTTCCCTTTGGATGGTTCATTAATCGTTCTGACTCCAGCCTTTCCTCTTACGATGAGTGACATCGCCCTGATGTCACATTTGCCTCTGCCCTGTTTCCACAGACGGGAATTTCTTAGCAATCGGCTCCCATGACAACTGCATCTATATATACGGGGTTGCTGACAACGGGAGGAAGTACACGAGGGTCGGCAAGTGTTCCGTACGTTCTTCCGTTTCCTGGGGATGCTCACGTGGTCACAATTCATGGCAGTGGCATAGCTAGCGTCTGCCAGGCTCAGAAAGGCAAGAGAAATTTACCCAGTGTTCTCCTCTCCCAGGGCCATTCCAGCTTCATCACCCACTTGGACTGGTCCGTGAACTCCCAATTCCTGGTGTCAAATTCTGGGGACTACGAGATCCTCTACTGTGAGTAACAGACAGCAGGCTTGGCTGGGTTTAGATTATACAGGGCACTCACTCTGACACTCCCATGGACCTGTGTGGGGTGAGGCCCTCTCTATCCCTCATTGCCCTCTGGGACATGGAGGGGTTGGCCTCACAGCCTCTTGGAGCCTTCCTGACTGGGAGGAGCCTTGTTGAAGAGTGGGGTCCACCCTGGGGAAGAACCAGGTGAGCCCTGTGCAGAGGTCCTGGAGATGAGACAGACCCATGGTCACAGGATGAATAGCCCTGGTAAAGGTACCCACAACCCCTCCCCTAAGCAGGTAGAGACTGTGGAGTCCCTCCCATTTGAGTGAATAAAAGCCCCTGGACCCTTTTCTTCCAGCCTGTCTTGGGGGAGTCTCTGTGCCTAAGTAGGACCTGGGAGGAGGGAGGATGCAAAAGGCAGCATTTACAGAGTACCTGCTGCATGCCATGCTCTGAGCAGAGCGGAAGGGATTGTGGGATATGAAAACGCTCTGGCCTCCACCCAGGATGTTACTTAGGACACACACTGCTGTTTGCCTGGCTTTCTCATGATCCACAGTATCTTCTGACACTTTCAGGATCATCCCTCTCTATAGATAAAAAAAAATTTATGAATAGAGGCTCAGATGCCAGTGAGGGCAGGAAGGCAGTGTAAGGAGGAAGTTACACCTGCTGGGGCTGTTGCCCACTTGCTAAGAAGCCTGGGAAAGGCAGGGTAGAGAGATAGCCAGTTCCAAGAGGGGGCACCCTCCCCCTTGGGTCCTGCCTGACACAGGGGCATATGCTGTCGGGGATGAGCCTGTGTCTAAAACCTACCCAGACACAGGCATGTTGGCTACTAGTGAGATTCACTGGACAGACAGACAGATCACCCTGGAAGCCTTGGCACTTGCTGAGAATGGTTTCCTGCCTCAGAGTTGAAGACGCTGAGGGACATGAGTGTGTGTGTGTGTGTGTTTGTTTGTGTGTATGTGTATGGGTGTCTGTCTGTCTGCACTTCCACCTGTATAGATATTGAGCAGTAGAAGGCTAGAACCAGAGGCTGGTCAATAGGAAAAGCCAGTCTGGTGGGAGGGAATAGAGTCTCAGAGAAGGGCATGGAATACTGGAAGGCAGAGCCTCCTGAGACCCAGACTTGTACCCATTCCCAGACAAACTGACAGCTATGCACACTGTTCCTATGGGAAGGTGGGTGGTCCTCCCTGATGGGAATGGCTGTGTTCTCATGGGTGGGAAGGTGGGTGGTCCTCCCTGATGGACATGGCTGTGTTCCCCTGGGTGGGAAGGTGGGTGATCCTCCCTGATGGACATGGCTGTGCTCCCATGGATGGGAAGGTGGGTGATCCTCCCTGATGGACATGGCTGTGCTCCCATGGATGGGAAGGTGGGTGGTCCTCCCTGATGGGCATGGCTCTGAGGACCCCGCCTGACTCCAGGGAGATCTAGGGCCTCAGCTGAGAAGTCACAAGGCTATTGCTTCCTCCAGGGGTTCCATCTGCCTGTAAGCAAGTCGTGAGTGTGGAAACCACGCGGGACATCGAGTGGGCCACCTATACCTGCACCTTGGGATTCCATGTCTTTGGTAGGGGTCCGCGTATGTCACTGCCTTTGAACTTTGAATGTGCTCTAGCGAATGAGACCACACCTCCTTCAGTCTTTAAGGATTTCTTTTTAATTGTTTATGGGTATGAGCGTTTTGCCTTCACGTATGTGCAGTGCCTATGGAAACCAAAGAGCGCATCAGCTTCCCCACTGGTACTAGAGTTACCCATAGTTGTGAGCTGCGATGGAGATGCCGGGACTCGAACCAGGGCCCCACTTTTGGTCTTGTCCATCAGCTCTGACCCTGCCTGGGGCCATGACACACAATCTCCTCAGCTTCCAGACTCAGGCCAGGTGGGGAGGCTGAGGGAGTGATTAACTCTTCCCAAGGCACAGGACAGCCCTCCCCCAGTGGTTCTGTGGATGATGTCGTACCTACACGAACCACACAACACTTGGCTTAACTTACTGCTTGCAAGGTAATTCTATTCTTTGACCCTTAAGCCTAAAATTTTCACTTCTTTCAAAGCTCATCTTGTTACATTCACAAGTAACTTATAGTTAGTTGCTACAGTCTGAGCAATTGGTAGGGATTCCTAAGTCCCCTCAGTGTAGAGTCTCCCTACTTCCTGGTGTTCTGCCTACTGAGGAGTGGGCGTACACTCAGCCCCCTAATATACAAAGCTCTCAACCAAAAGCCTCTCCCAGGACACAGTGCCTCTATCCTCAAGGTATCCTGCACTTCAGGGACTTACATGGAAAGGTGTCACTTCACAAGCAGGGAAGCGGGTACGTGCCGTTGCACCCAGAGGGGCCCCAGTGGAGGCAGGCAGCTCAGGACGCTGCTGGGGCTGTGTGACTTAGCACAGCTGCTAGAAGCGCTGCAGGGCTTCTCAAAGTTGACGCTGGGTGCACTGCAGCCAGGAGCTAGAGAGAGGCAGGAGCCTGAAACGAGCGAGCATTCACAGGGCTCTCGATTCTAAAGCGCAGACGGACGGTGGTTTTCTTTTCGTGGCCCCCTGGTGACCAGGTTTTGTGTGGCTCTTTCGTGGCCCCCTGGTGACCAGGTTTTGTGTGGCTCTTTCGTGGCCCTCTGGTGACCAGCTTTTGCGTGCCGTGGCTCTGTGGTTTCCAGTGCTGTCTGTGCTCTGTTCCAGGGGTATGGCCAGAGGGCTCCGATGGAACAGACATCAACGCCGTCTGCCGGGCCCACGAGAAGAAGCTCCTGTCCACAGGAGATGACTTCGGCAAAGTGCACCTCTTCTCGTACCCGTGCTCCCAGTTCAGGGTAAGGCCTTGGCCATTCACCACTCTTCTTACAGGGCGTGGACCGATGGTCTGACCTGTCTAAAAACCAGATGGAAATGAACTGTGGGTGAGGGCGACCAGCAGATGACCCTGCTAACCTGCTGCCTGAAACCTCTAGGGTTCCCCACTACCCTGGGGAGACCTCAACCCAGATGTGGCCTACAAAACTTTTTATATCTGGTATGTCTACCTCTGCAGCTATTTAGGCTACACACACACACACACACACACACACACACCTACTCCCTATCTCCCCATGCTCACGCCAGCTCTGCTGAGCTAACCGACCCCATGTCTAGACTGAACATCTTTCAGCCAGAAGACCCGGTCTCTCACCCTGCTTAGTGTCACTGTAGGGTTGGCTCATGCCTGGTGCAGCCCTCTAAGACTGCCCATACTTGATTTCAGGCCTATCGTGTGCTAGTCTCTGTCCCAGGGGCTTATTTCTGTACCCACCTCAAGTCTCACACACAAAGCGGGTGCGCAGACAAGAGCAGCTTACAAGGGGACAGACAGTAACGGAGTCTCAGACTGATTTAGAACTCAAGCGTTTCCTGAAGCCACAGTCACCTCTGCCTAAGCCTTTCTCCTTGTCATGCTTTTCCAGGCTCCAAGCCACATCTACAGTGGACACAGCAGCCACGTCACCAATGTGGACTTCCTCTGTGAAGACAGCCACCTTATCTCCACGGGTGGGAAAGACACAAGCATCATGCAGTGGCGGGTCATTTAGTCCCCGTGGGAACCCGAGGAGACAGACTCACGTTCCGCTTGGTCACTGTGATTTCTGTTTTGTCTACAGACTCTTAACAAACCTCAGGAAAACTGTCCCTCTACCAGTTACCTTAGTTGGGGAGCCAGTGCGTGTCATACCAGATAAGCGGTTTTGCGTCCACTTTTGTTATATAGGGCAGGATAGAATGCATGTTGGGTAAAGGAAGTTCCCAAGGTTTACACGGCATCAACAGAAGGGACTGGTGTATCCTTATAGACACTTTTCTATGAACTCTTCAAAAATGGTCACAGAATGCCTTTTAAAATATTGTATATAGTCTTCACTGCTTCACCTTGCTAAGTCAGATATTTATGATAATGAAGAACGGAACTGGGGTCGTTGTTGACTAATTGGTCCTAAAAGGATAAATTATGTAACTGATTTGCCCAGCTGAATCAGGAATGCAAATGCCAGACTTTTCCTTGGCCATGTAACTAAAATCCCATTAACTCCTCCCTCTGGGAGGCTGGCAAGAAAGGTGCTGTGTTCTCCCTGGTCAAGCAGTTTGTACTACAGAACCCCTGAGCTTCCATGGGCGTATGGGTGCTTCCATGCTCTGGTTAGACTGTCCTGCCTGGGGACACAGCCAGTTTCTTCAGCACCTCCACAAACTGCACCCCAATTCTCTTCATGCGCCCTGATTCATGGCGAGATATTTAGCCACCACTCTCTGTGTATTAATGGCATGATACGGTATTGTCCTCGTATAGGGTTTAACAACTTACGATAAAATGCCCAAGGCTGAGCCTTGCTGTGTGTGCTCTAGACACTACATTTGTACCCAACCAAGTAGGTCAAAATGGAGAGAGAGTCTCTTCAGAGTGCAGCACCTCTGAGGCTCTCTGGGTGTAAGATGGTCTCCTTCACTGACTCTTGTGCACGGACAGCACGCAGCATACAGACTGAAACTATGCTCTGACAGTAGAACGTAGGCATCCTAAGGTGTCAAGAGGGCCTTACCCTTTGTGTGACAGATTGAATTGATTGTTTACATTGGGGACTGTATCTTGGATTTTTAAAGAGAAGAATCACAAACAGACGTAAGGACGGATGGTGAGATTTCTTTTTGTAAACTTGTTTAAGCAAGTAAGTGAGTTGAGTTATCTGAACTCTATAGCACTGGTTGTTTACGGTGATGAAGGACGACATCGAAGACGTACTCCTTGCCATCTCTAGCCTGCCGTGAGGGGACAGGGCGCCAGAAAATAACGTGACTCGAGATGAAGCTGTTTGTATGTATCCTTATCAAATATATTCTATAAGGAAATAAAATCTGAAAAGTGGATTTCCTACTGACCTCTGTCTCTGAACGTATGTAAATTAAAATATTTAGGCCTGGAGAGATGGCTCAGGGGTTAAGAGCACTGACTGCTCTGCCAGAGGTCCTGAGTTCAGTTCCCAGCAACCACATGGTGATCCAATGCACTCTTCTAGTGTGTGTCTGAAGACAGCTACAGTGTACTCATGTAAATAAAAAAATAAATAAATCTTTAAAAAAGTTAAAATTAGATAGGGTCCACATTACATTCTGTTCTCCATCAGAGGGGTCACTCCTGTGGGGGCCCTTGCAGATGGATTTCACTTTTGCATATAGTGTGTGTGGAAGCCTTCATCAGCCGAGACAACTCAGGGATTGGCTTAATTCCTTGCCTTAATAACCTAGCCCAACTGTTAGTTTATTGTATAAATATTGGCAAAATGGTCACTTTTAATTGACAGTTGAAGGGATAATTAGGTATCAAGGAAGGAGAAGAGGCCCATGGCAACTTGCATATGGTTCCTTTGGCATCATCAGGACTAAATACCCCATAGAAACCACCTCAGGGAGGTAGAAATTGACTTAGGTCATGATGTCAGAGGCTTCAGGCCGCTGTCACTTGGCTCTGGGCATTTGGGAAGAATGCCATGATGAAGGGAGGGAATTGGAGAAGCATCTTCATTGTCTGGTAGTCAGGAAACAGAACAGCAAGAAAGAGGAGACCAGAGACACTGGCCTTCTAAGGGACCACCTTCAGCGACCGCTGCCTCTAGTGAAGCTCCATCCATGAAACTTCTAGAACTTTCTGCAATCCCTACATCAGCTAGGGATCAGGAATTCAAAGCCTGTGGGGTGGGGGGACATTTGACGTATAAAAATACAACCAACTTATAAATCAAGGGGAAATGTACATGTCTCATATTTTGGATATATATATATCCATAATATTATTCTATATTTTATTAGCTATGAAGATAATTATAACATTACATATATATTAATCCAACAATCACAGCATTAAATATAAAGTAATTGTTTATAAATAGTATTAAGTAGCACTATTGCTATGGTACCATATTTAAATGGTCTAGTGTTAGCTTTATAGATAGTATTTGTTTATTGTTAACATAGCACACAGCGGTGGCTTACCACTGCTCCCTCATCCTGTGGCCAGAGAGCTGATTCGTCTCTGTTTGGATTCAGGAAGCCGGGGAGAAGGATGTAATAAAAAGAATCTTCTGTGCAGACGTAAGAACAAATTTGTTTTCTAGGCTTAAAAAACACATAGGTGGGGTCTGGAGAGGCAGCTCAGAGGTTAAGAGCACTGGCTGCTCCTCCAGAGGACCTGGCTTTAAGTCCCGGCACACACATGGCAACTCACAACTGTCTGTAACTCGTTCCAGGGTTCTGGCGCAGACATACATGCAGGTAAAAACACCAACGCACATAAAATAAAAAATAAATTATTTATTTAAAAAAAAAACAAGTAAGTGTCTTAGCATCCATACGTTGAAAATTGTAGTGGTATTTAACATCTCTTTAAATTTGGGCAGAACAGAACTTCCAGCTTACCCGGACAGCGCCACTTTCAGATGCATTCTGCCACCTAGTGGCAAGATAACAGAATACAGTCCATCTTTTCTGCTCTCAGCACTGTGTGGAGGAGAAAAGCCATCTCTTACTCCACTGAGTGGCCTATGTGGGGATATCTGCACAACCTGAGTGCTCAGGGGAGCCTTCAAGGATTCCTGGAAGACCCTGACATCTCTGCAGCCTTAGGAACTAAGAAAAGGCTTCATGTTTAAGGGATGAGGGTCCCCCATCTGAAGCTGGGGGGTGGGGGGGGTACTGCTAGGCAGGAACTGAGGTCATACACTCTGGTTCTCTTTCACGGACACTCACTTCTGTTCAGAGGTCATGTCTGTACCTCACTCCTGACACCAGCCTTTTCTGGGCAATTGACAGAGAGCTGCTCTCTTTCGCCTTTGTAATTTCCAGCCACATCCCACAAATCCAGGGAGCACATGCTACGTTCTCCATGTGCCTTGGAAAGAGTCAGACATGACCCCTGCTCTTCCCTTCTGGAAGGAAGACGGTGTGATCAACAGGTCCCACAACCTCCACCCCCAAGAAATCTTATTCCCAAATTCTTTTAAAATATTTTTAAATGTTTGATTGTATTTATGTATGGGGGGGGGGGGCATGCAGCTGCATCCGTATGTTTCATGACCTATACATGTGGAGGTCAAAGGACAGCTGATGGGAGTCAGTTCTCTTCTTCTGTGTGTTCTGGGGATCGAACTTGGTTCATCTGGCTTAGCAGCAAGCCCCTTTGTCCACTGAGCCTTCTCTCTGGCCTGCCTATGTAAGATTTCTAACCCCTTACTGTGCATGTCTATAAAGTGTATGAGAGAGTATAAGGCTTCCTGGTCTATGAAGTTTCTGAAATGCCTTACCTACTGGATCTTGGCTCAAGGTCCAACACCTGGTGACTAGCCTTAGATGGTTTCTTTGTGCATCTATGTGGTGGGTTTTATCCTCTCTCCCCTCCTTGCTGAAGGATGGGACTGGATGTTGCCAAATCACCTCCCAGAGTGGGCCAGCAGCACAGGGTGCCTCCCTCTGCTCCACTTCACATCTGGACCTGTCCTTTTTCAACAGCCTGGCAGGCCTCCAAGCGGTAACTCAACTGCCTTCTGTGCAGAGGAAGAAGCTTGCCCAGGGCTTCTTCATGGCTGGTGGCAGAGCTAAGGGAAGACGCCTCAACTCTCCCAAGCCATGTCCTGCAGGCCTACATGAGCCTTCTCAGAAGTACCTGCTGGAGATGATGCTGTGTGTGTGTGTGTGTGTGTGTGTGTGTGTGTGTGTGTGTCTGTGTCTGTGTGTCTGTGTGTGCTCATGCACGTGTGTGCATATGCATGTGTGTGTGTGTGTAGAAGGTTCCACATGCTCTGTGCAGCCTGTAGGGAGCAGAATGAACCCCAGATGCCTAGCCTCAGCCTGGAAGCTCTCCTTCTGTCTCCTGCCTCTGTTTCTCTCTGTTCCTTTTACCTCTTGTCTCCGGTCCCAGCTCAAGCTGCCAGCTCTTTAGTATGCAAAAAGCCACACTCCTGACTCACCCAGTTGGCATTGGGGGGCTACTGTCCTTCCCCCTGGGCAGCTTGAGACAAACATTTGTTTGTCTTGTTAGCCTGTGGCACATCAATTAACAATTGAGAATACAGGGACACATATTCATAGCCAGAGGATACAATGTGTGTGGGTTGTCTCAACCGTGAGCCAAAATAAACCATCCCTTCCTTAACTTGCTCTAGTGGCAATAAGTTACAGACACACCCAAACAGGCTTAGCCTAAAAAGGAAGAGAGAGAACAAGAACCCATCCTTCATCCTTCCCTCCTTTGCACCAGCTGGGAACAGACAGGTGTGCGAGGGCTTTCCTGATGCTCCATTGTTCCATCAACTTCTTTAGGGTCCTGTGACAAATATGCTTCCACAAGGAAGTCAAGGAAGACAAGGAAGCAATCCTCTCTTCCTGTTCCTGGTAGTAGGTGAGTTACTTTGGCAATAGGTAGGAAGGATGGGCAAAATGGAAGACCCTAGAAAGAATTGGGTAATATCATTTCTGCTTATAACACAGCAGGCTGACCACGTCCCACCTCCCAAACTGAGCTAGGAAGTTGAATCTCTTCCAGCCTTATGGGAAGGCTGGTGCCATATGCCTTGTGTTATCTTTTTGGATGAGTGAGTTTCTACATCTTTAAGATTACCAGAAGACCCTCAGATCGAAGCTACTGCAAATGATAGTGGGACTTGCCCAGCCCGCTGCCCAGCTCCCCATGTGCCTCCATCGCTCCCACACTGGTCCTCTGTTTTTGTGTGGTTCACAGAAGTGGCAGGCTTAGATACAGCATGTCTGGTCATTGTCTGCATTTGTAGCAAGCCGTGGGAGAAGCCTGACACATCCTGTGCTCCTGACCCTTGGGTTTTGGAGGTCACCCTCTCCTTGGCTTCAGTCATTGCTGGTTTGTGTGCGGCATTGGACAATCAGAAAGCATCCTCAGAAACTTTTCTTTCATCGTGATCACCTTCGACCCCAGGAAGAGGCAGATCCAGGGCTTAGGCATCCATGAAAAGCAGGGGAAGAATTTCCAACAAGCGTGGAACAGACAGACGGAAGGATGTGAGGTTCAGGATAGCCAAGCAGTCACCATATGCTTTACCACTGGTTTGAAAGACACTCAGTAGAATATATTACCCCATGCTGTGTCTGTCTGCCCATCCATCTCCCTCCTTCCCTTCCCTTGAGCCAGACATACTCTCAAGCTGGGGAACTCCCCCTGTCATGGATATTGGAGATGATGATGAAGAGGCAGAAAGACTTCCAGACAGGTAGGTGAGCAGGGGTGGTGGCTACACAGAGCATTCAAGTGACCTTGAGTGACCTTGAACGCCAAGCAGTGGCAGAGGGAGAGGCTAAACATTGCAGCCATCTGGGGGACACCTCAAGTCCTGAGGCATTCCAACCACCCAGCCTGTCCTTCCTCAGCCTTGATGCCAGCCCTCGGACTAAGAGCACACCCTGGGGGAGGCATAGCTTCACCCAGATCCATTTTGTTGGTTTGTTTCCTTGCTTGCTTCTCTAGCATATAGATTAGAAGCAAACCCTTAGGGAAGGGAGATTTGCCCAAGGTCAATGTGACCTCAGGGACAGTACCAACGGTGGCCCTTCTCCTCCTCCTCCTCCTCCTCTTCTTCTTCTTCTTCTTCTTCTTCTTCTTCTTCTTCTTCTTCTTCTTCTTCCTCTTCCTCTTCCTCTTCCTCTTCTCCCTTCTCCCTTCTCCC